CAGTCACTCACCTTTAGTTTGTAGATGACTTGATGATCTTCTGTGAGGGAGGCTTTGGTGAGAAGGTGGAAAATTTGAAAGAATTGATTACAATTTTTGAAGGAGTCTCTAATTTGAAAATCAATCTAGGAAAAAGCTGCATAGCCGGAGTAAATTTAGTTTTTGAGGAGGTTGAGGCGATTGTAGGCTGTCTTGAGTGCTCTATTTCCTCATGGCCTCTGTCTTACTTAGAGGTTCCGTTGGGTGCAAACCCTAGGAAGAGTAGGTTCTGGACCCCAATCTTGGAGAAGTTAGAAAAGAGATTAGCTGTGTGGAAGAAAAATTATCTCTTTGGGTGGGAGGATCACTTTGATAAAAGCTACCCTCATGAATCTACCTACCTATTATCTCTCTGTCTTCAGGATACCGTCTAGGGAAGCGAAGAAGTTGGAAAAATTGATGAGAGATTTTCTATGGGAATCGGGAGAAGGTAAAAAGGACCATTTAATTAATTGGGGGGTTGTGGGTAGAAGCAAAGAGGATGGAAGATTAGGGCTCGGGAATGTGCTTAAAAAGAACTTGATTCTGTTAAGGAAGTGGTTGTAGATATGACCTTTGGAGCAGGATAGGCTCTGGCACGTAGTGAAGAGTAGTCATGGATGTTCAGAGAGTGGTTGGGATGTTGGTGCATCAAGGAGGGCTAACCTAGCCACACCTTGGAAAGCAATTCACAAAATTCTTCCGCAGTTCCTCAGTTGTGTCAGGTATGATGCTTGTTCAGGTAATTCTATTCGGTTTTGGGAGGACATTTGGGTTGGAGATCTCCCTTTGAAAGACCTTTTTTCTTCATTGTACTCTGTTTCCTTGTATAAAAATGAGGTGATCTCAAAATTCCTTCCATCGAATTTATTCTTACCAGCTTTGTCTTGGGATTTTGGTTTCCGTCGAGGGTTAAGGGATGAGGAAATTGAGTGTTTGTCTACTCTTCTATGTCTCCTTGATAAGGTCTGGCTGGATCCCTCGAAACCCGATAAAAGCATTTGGGCCATTCACCCCAATGGGTCTTTTTCTTGTGGCTCCTTTTTCAAGTTCCTCTGCCAATCTCCCTCTCAACAGAGTTTCCCTTCCAAAGAAGTCTGGTGTAGGCCGGTCCCCCCCAAGGTTATGGCTTTGTGCTGGGAAGTGTGGCATGGTAAAGTAAAAACAATGGATAACCTGCAAAAGAGAAGACCCGTCCTTTGTATTCACCGAATTGGTGCATTCTTTGCAGATCTCATGGTGAGGATTGTAATCATCTATTTTTATCTTGTAGTGTAACTGTAGAGCTCTGGGCTTGGCTTCTATCTTTATTTGGGTATAGTTGGGATATGCCAGCAAAAGTAAGTACAATCTTTAACCCTTCTTTCTTCTCTTGACCCCATAAAAGAGGAAGGAAAATGTGGAGATGCTCGCGAGCAGCATTGTTATGGACAGTATGGGAAGAAAGGAATGCCAGAATCTTCTAAGAAAAAGGAAGAAGCAGTCAAGCCTTAAAGGACTGCATTATGTCTAGGACACTACATTGGTTAAAGACTCTAGAATTATTTAACCATTTCACTTTTACTGATTGTTGGAAGGATTGGAAGTTGGTAGCAAGCTGTTCCTCCTACAAGGGAAGGGTAGTGACTAGTTGGGTCCCCCCTCCTCTTGGTTTTTTGA